CTGATGATGAATTCAAGGAAGCTTTTGGCAAAACACTGAACATACAGAGAATTATTGAAGAGCCAAAATTACACTTTATTGCAAGATGTGGAAGCTCAGACAGTGAGCTTCTTTTGTATACTGAAGAAAGGCTGAAGTGCATTTCTGAACTTAAAATGAACTGTACTGATGGAAACATTGAATAYGTAGACAAAATGAGATTTTGTCWTGGCGACAGCCCCCTTCGAGCATTTGAAGCTGGCCAACAAAAGGGAGGCAACTACTTTTGCTGTTCTTGTGGAATTCATTGCGACATGGTATACTCTCTTGATYATGCCTTGAATTGTGAATTCTCCAGCCTTGTGAAGAGGCAAAAAGCTATCCTACAGGGGCCTGTGGGAAGGAGGAATTCACTTAAGCAAAAACGTAAGCCTTTCAATAGTCTGACAAAGGGAGAACTAGAAGAAGAGCTGGCAGCGAGACAAATATATGATGGTAAAACTAAAGATGAATTAAAAGTGCTGCTGGTTGAGGATCTRAAAGGAAAACAACGTGTCCCAGCACTTCTAATAAATAATCCTGAAGCTTCACTTTTTGGTCTTGATGATTATGAAATCTTGCCTTGTGAACCACTACATGATGTTGGCCACCACATTGAGAATGTCTTAACAGAGCTTCCCAATCATTTGTCTCCTGAAGAATCAAAAGTCATTGAAGACTCAATCTCACTATGTTTAGCTGGTAAAGAAAGCAAACGATGTGTTGATTATAGAATGGCTCTAATCAAAACTGCTGCTGTTGCCCACCTATCAGGAAAAATGTCAAAAAGGTGTTGGATGTCATTGACACTCTTGTTGAGATGCAGAGAATATTATATGCTGATGACAACTGCCGTACTCCTGCTCAAATCCTAAGGTACTACAACCAAGCTTGGTACCACTCCATCTTGCTTCATGACTTCATTGTAAATAACCCCAAAAAGCTCACAAGAAGAAAGATGTTTGGTGTATACTTCCATAACCTCAGTGCCCATGCAGGTGATATGTTAAGGATCATTTCTGGGCAATCAACTAATGCTGAAAGACAAGAGAGGATTTTCAACAGCATCAAGCGGATCAATAAACAAACCAGCAATTACCATCCTGGGCATATTATTCCTAACTTTTTTATACGTCTTCAAGYTGAGAAGGAACTTGGGCTACAGGAAAACAGCTCAGCACGCCAGCAAACACAAGTCAGTAACCTTKCAAAATCTCTGCCTCCATTATACAACACAGTAATCCCCGTATCAGTCAGCAAGAAGCATTCATCAGAGTGGCAAGCACACCTACAGCACATTAGTGATTTTTYATTGGAGGGAGAAGGTGTCTGGTGGAGTAAGACAGTTGATGGAGTTGAATTTCATGATGTTTCCAATTTTCCMAATCGTTTATTGAGGGGTCCTCAGCTTCATCACTTCAGATCGTGCACCATAGMTCAAGAAGAGTGCTTCCTAAAGAGCTGCTGGAATATGGTATTACTGAAAAGAAAGTTATTCCACTGCATATTCCACTGTTATAACGATAGATCAGCCAGATGGCACAACAAAGCGAAGGAATACACCATACTTAGGTGATGCTGTAACCACCAAGCAAGCAGTAAACACAAGAACACCTCTACCCAACTCTGTGCCTGAACTACCTGTGTCTGTGCCTGAACTACCTGATTCTGTGCCTGAACTACCTGAGTCTGTGCCTGATCCTAAAGARTTWGAAACCTCTGAAGCTCCCATACACAAGGACAATGTGGAAACAGAAGAAGTTCAGTATGAATCCGAGGAAGAACGGGAGAACATACTAGACATTTCTCTAGCACAAGATGARATGATCAACTTCAATGACATGCAACCTATGGACACCTTATCAAACAGATTTACATCCAGAGAAACACAGCAAGAAAAACAAGTAATCGAAATGGAAAGTGATCTACACAATGCTATTGATCTTKAGCCACCAAATCATGAATCAACTACCTCCCAGTCAACAGATTCATGTACTTGTAACACTACACAACATAAGCAATATACCTTACAGTCCCGCTTGGGAAAAGCCCTAGAAATTGTGCTTGGACTTTCAGAGGATGTTGAGAGCATCGACAGGAAACATTGCAAGCTAAAAAAATTGGAAAAGCAAAAAATAAGAAATAAAGACCTTGATGATAGCTACCATCTAACATAACTAATCTACAAATTCAAGTTCTAGCAGAACAAAGAAAACTACAGTCTAGCTTAGCTCAATGGGAAAAAGAGCATGTAATCCAAAATAATCTAAGAGCACCATCCCTGGAAGAAATAAAGGCTGATAAAACAGCTTTAATCATCATGAAGAAACTGAAATATGCTGATGGGTTACTTAAAAAATGGAAAATTGACTTTGATAATTAGTAAACATGCAGTAAAACCACATTTACTTGTTCAGACGCTTTATAGTTTATTAAATTAATTCCTGCTCTGATGTGGCATCATTCTATTTGGTGGCAATGTCTAAGCAAGTCATACAGTCAACCACAGTACGTTTGTGGTTACAATTACTGCATAAATGAATTTGAATATTTGAAATTTSTAATATTTAGGCTACAAAAATAACATATTGACTTGCTAAGGCTGTGGTTGATGCAATACAGTGTTTTTTACATTTCATTATTTTATTACATTATTTATATAATATTTTATATTATTTAACTAAATGAACTCGCATTGAAATTTATAAATAATTATTTTATTATAGACAAATGTATATAAAATGTCTTTCAGCTTTGAGTTCATATTGTTAGTATGCGTCACTGGATTGTAAATATTCAGAACTTTGACTCTACATGTACAGTACCTTAAGTGAACGCCCTCAAGCTTGCGAAAACAAAAAGTTTCAGCTATGAAAGTATCCGCTAATGAGAATGTTAACTGTTTATCACTGTATGCAAACATTATTGTAAATAATTACCCATTTGTAATATATTATCTATTATCTATAATATCTATTTACATTCAAACAAATCTGAGATATTGATATTAAATAAGCAAAAATTGATATTTWTAGCGGGCTAGCTGTGTCGCAGTTTCCAGTCTCTCTCGAACCACAGGAAGCCTATTAGTTTGCAGTCTCTCTCGAACTGAAAATTTTCTCAAGAATCCAAAATGGCGGGTACTTCGCCGATAACAGAGAAAAAAGTACTCAAAAACTATCAACAAGAAATACCAAAAGCTTTCTCATTGAAGAATTGAACTAGGATTTTGCATTTGTGAAGTTTCAAGCTTGCTAGTTGTTATCATTTTAAGACGATTTTGCATCGAAAATAGTCTCGCCTTCCTCACCAGTCCAGCTCGATGATTATTCAGTACAGCTTCAACATGAAATCAGCTCAAATACTGGCTTTTTTTCCACATTCATAGACAGCAAAAGGTATTCTTCTGTTTAATTGACAATGTTTTTATTGTTTAAATTCAAAGAAATTGCTTTAATAATTTTTTAATAGTTAGAAATGACAAAGTTTTGTTTTGCTTCAATTTTTAGATTTCTTTTGTACGAAAGAAAGGCTAATAAAAACAAAATTTAAAGAATGCACTCATGCCATCTAAAATGCATTGCTATGTAAATAATAATAGATGTGATATCGCTAACTAAGTAAAGARCTTCCATAAATATTTTTACAAAATACATTGCAAATGTAGGACAATCACTAAAGCAAAAAGATTATGGTTGATAGTTAATATATGATAAGATTATAGCAAACAGTGAAGGTTAACGATAAGAATTGAACTKCAAAGAAAACTAAGGTGTTCGACGGCATATTTTACTTTCATATATAGTTACGTCATAGTCACAATATTCATTGGAGATACAATTTTTATCTTGTATTGTGAATCTTTTGCTAMGCTAGCCCGCATCACGCTTTACAAGCGTCTAGTTTGGGATTCATTGACATCTAAAACCAAAAATAAATCCTAAAGTAAACTTAAAACATGGTTTTAAAAGATCTTTGTTGGTTGTATTTTTCATATTTATACGCAGTTTGTTTAATCAACCATGAATAATTTTAACCTTCTTTCCAAGCTTTCGACCTAAGCGGTCATCTTCAGGGAACACAAAGACGTTACAAAAACAAACACAAAAACGCATTCAAACTGAAATGAAACTACTTTTGCGCGCGCAATAAAGAYAATGCGCGCGCTGTTACAATTGAATTCAAGAAAGATGAGAATAATAATTACAGCTAAAACCGTTGCATCGCGACCAGCCATTTCAAAATTCCGATTATATTTTGGTCTTTTCTGATCCGTCAATCATTGGGGGGGAGGAGCTTTTGTAAATAGCCGCTGACACAACGCCATCTCTCTTCTAGTTCACGAAACGAGTCAAACTTATTTATGTATTATAAAAATGACACGAGAATATCCTAGAGAACTGCGTTGGAGGGTCATTTATTTAAATCGTGAAGGACGAAGTACAAAGAATATCGCTCGTACTTTACACGTTGGTGAGAGTTTTGTAAAGAAAATCAAAAAGATTTTTGAAGATAACCGGTCTGTTGAGTATAGACCGAGGCCTAAAAATATCAGAAATCTTGGAGGTATGTATTTTAAATAAACATTTTTGCAATATTTGAGTTTTGTACAATTTTATTGGCTTATAGTGACTCGATCGACACCGAGTTGACTCAGTTGACTGCCGAGACGAATTTATTTTTATTTAGGTTTTGCTTTAGAATGATATTTTAATCTATAAGCTTAATAACAAGTAATCTTAATAATATAAGACTTACTTATTAAGGAACGTGTTTCAGTAGTTGTGTCATCACAGTAATTATATAAGTACCTGCTGTTGCACTAATTTCTTGCATTTGCCGTGACAGCTCAAGATATCCTGATGATTAAAAATATTGTCACACAATATCCTAAGGTTTATGTAGATGAGCTAAAAGATTGGTTGCAGTATTTGACCGGAAGAGTATTTTCACTAACTGCCATCAAAAGATGTTTACATAAAATGGGTTACTCTCGAAGAAAGGTAAGTTATTGCTTTCCACTGTGTATATATAATTAAATTTGTGGACTTTTGTAGACCAGTTTGTGAAAAATAATTATCATGTTAAATAAACTAGACAAAAACTATAACTTACAGTTTATTCATACACTCGTATTCATAAACTCCCTTCTATTTTTATATAGTTATTGTGAATACATGTACAGTGAGAATATTGATATATTGTTTAGAAATGTTTACAATAATATTTGTACCAATATCAATTCAGTTGTTTCACTCATGACAGCTAAATCTTATTGCAAGACAAAGGAATGACTGGCTGCGTGCTGAATTTCGTCATCGAATGGCACAATTTGACACTCATCAGTTGCTTTTCATTGATGAATCATCTAAAGACGAAAGAACTTTTCAGGTGATGGATACAGATTACTCCTGTTCTGTGCAGAGGTTAATTACAATTAAATAATAGACTGTTTCAGTGATTTATATTTTAATGTTTGTTTGGTTGTTTTTCAAAAGAGAAGATATGCAAGAGGCTTAAAAGGTTCAAGAATATCTACTAAAGGAAACTTTACTAGAGGGACTCGGTATAGTGTGCTGAGTGCTATTAGTGTTGAGGGAGTTATAGCTTCTCATACAATAGTTGGTGCTTATGACCAGAGGCAGTTTGAATTTGCCATGACATCCTTTGTTTTACCACATGTGGGATCAGTAGCCAGAAGGGAAAAATGTTCTGTGGTGATAATGGATAATTGTGCAATCCATACATCAAATGATGTGATTACAGCTGTAAGGAACAGAGGTGGCATAGTGATATTCTTGCCGTAAGTATTCATGAGGTATTAAAAATAACAAACCTAGGTTGAGCATTGTCACTGATTTACGGTTGTAGGTATCAACTGAAATGTATAATAAAATTAAATTTCAATTAGTGACAAAACTCGATCTACTATATGGTGTACCAGTCTCAATAGTAAGTCTATTGTTCTACTTTTTGCAATCCCCTTCTTGCTAATTCTTTTTAATTATATTCTGCAAATGACAAAATGAATAAGTCAAGATCAAAGAAAACATTTTTATTACAGACCATATTCTCCAGACATGAACCCTATAGAGGAAGCATTTGGGTGTGGAAAGATTTGGCTTAGAAGGCATACAGATATTTGTCTTAATTACCCTCGATGGTGTTTTGAATTAGCATTGCAGCAGGTACTGTATTCTATCTTCATTATAACTTAACACAACAACAATATTACTAACTACAAATTTGTGGCTATTACAAACACTGAAAGATTCCATAATTTGTGCTGTGAGTCTGTACTCTAATTTATGCACGTATGACATCAAAATGTGGTGAGAACAAAATTGGTGTGACTATTGTCTTACCACATTTTGATTGATGTCATCTGTGCATCTATTAGAGTACAGACTCAAAGAAAAATGGATTCTTTTTTTATATAATATTCATCAAACATGTGTCAATGGATTGCACCATAGTCATTTAGGATGAACTTCAAAAAACTTATAACAACACAACTTTTCATGCTTTTTCTTTACAGTTAACAGATCAACAGTGTAAAGGCTTCTTTGAGGACTGTGGATACTTCTAACTCATTTATGAAGGACAATAATTGTATCTCTTTTCTTGTGCATGTGACTGATGTGAAACTTTTAAGTTTAACATGAGAAACAAGCACAATACAACAATTAAAGCTGAACAAAAACACTAGCTCTTAACATCCAAAAATAAGCACCTGATAAGGGCCCCAAAATATAAGGCCATCAAAAAACAAGCCTAATAAAACATGACATTGAGCAAATATAAGCCCAGGGGTTGGAAATTTCTGGTAATTTTATCACTTTGACAAGTGTGTGTTCTCAAGACTGTATTCATTGCTTCATTTCTTTTCTTATTGCTTCCACTATTGCTTCACCATCTTCCCCACCAATCCCCATGCCTTGCAGGATACTAGCTCCCAAATATGGATGGCACAAACTTGCCAATAATGGGCCATCGACTTCTGCTTCCACAAATTTTGGGACAAATAAGTGAAGATTATTATCATCAAGGAAATTTATCACTTCTACATGTGAATATGCTGCAATATCTTTTTTCTCTTCATAGCATCTTTTCACTGGAGATGATGAATCTGCAAGGGTTGCGTTGGGCACTTTGGCTGATGACATGAATATTGGAGTAGAGGTCAACTGAGGGCTGATTTTATCAGTAAACATTGGACTCTGCACCTAAACACAATGCACAAAATTGATATAAAGTATGAGTTACTGAAAAATGCATTCCATTGCAACTATATCACAACAATTGGCAACATTAATATAAAATTGCATAAAGGCGTACATTGTTATGTAGAACCTAAATCAAGCACCCATGGAAACAAAGGTACATAAGATAACAGCCAAAGGTACTGGTTTAGGGTTGGAAGCTTAAAAAACATTTCAGGGAAAGTGTTTGACAAGTTACAGTGTTTGTTTTGCCAAAAAAATAAAATGGAAATTTTTTGGCATTTGTGCTAGTAAGGTTTTCTATTCTAAGATCCCCACCATTGTGGCAGTAATTAAGAAAAATAAATTTAAAAAATTATGATTATTTTCTATTTAAAATGGTTCATAATAATTTAAAAAAAGATTCTTGGAAGTGCATGAAATATGGGTCTCTATGCTTTTACCTGTTGGTTAGCAAGRATTGCTAGCAAAGATGTTTGAAATACTTCAGTGGAACGCTGATTTTGGATCATCATGGCCTTTAAAAGGTCATCAGTGCTGGTTTCTGGGCTTTCCGCAGCAGATCCTGATCTCTCTCTTCTCTTCTTTGGGGGAACACCAATCAAATCTATATATTCTTCCCAGTTAGGCTCCTCGCCCACTCCAGCAGATTTTCCCTTTATAATCAAATCTGTCMATAATTTTAGATGCCTAACACTGTATCTTGTAATGATTCCTTTTTTTTCCAATTCACGTACCAGATCRCAGTGAACATCATTCCATATGTCGTTGCTAGTTTTAGTATCAGGTACTTTAGATGCTGCTTGGACAAGTTGCTGTTCTCTTGCCTCTATTGATTGTTGTGAATATTCTAGACCTCTTTGTGCTGGTCTATCCACAGCACTTCTGTTTCCTGCAAGTTGAATAATGACATATTCTTATAGTCAAACTTGTTTTATTAAACTATTAAAAATGTTTACAGCTGAAATGTACATTCAAAGACCAAAATGCATATATTTATTATATTTTGCAGTTGACATGATCATTTGTTACAAAATGAGTTGCCAATAAATCCAAGCAATGCCTGACACACTAATGTTCAAATTAGTACCCTGCTAGTTACTAGTTTTGTAAAAAAATGATTAAAAGAAACTTACAGATATGTGTGCTATGTTATGTACTAACCTGTGAATGTTCCATTCAGATCTATTGCAGCACAGGCTATGCGTATGCATGATAGYTTCTTATCTTTGGTGGCATCTTTATATTCCTCTTTACAAGAAAAGAAGTCATTGTCTGTTTTGAGCTCAACCATTTGYTTACTTCCTTTTCTTAACCAGTACAATCCTGCTGATGGTGCAAACATTACTGAACCACTTGTTTCACTCTGTCTGAGAAGGCACTTAAGTTCTTCCAATGTTACATCTGGTGAGATATCATGTAAAACACTTGCAGTTTTGGACAGCTTTGGTTCCCCTTTATTGGTTTTTGAGACTTCAAATAAGAATAAATCAATGCATTTAGATGTTTGCTGTTTCTCTTTACATGTGTTGGTACTTGATCTAATTGCCATCAGCCTTGGTGAGCGTCTTGGTGTAATGTTATTTCCATCGTCTAAAACCACAACAAATAAACAAACAGTCTAGACATGCTGCAGGTATAATATTCCAGTACAACATTCATATAAACAACATGTATAGTTCTCATGATTATTACCAACAAACAGCAACTAATATAATAGTGATCTTCAAATATAATTGGTAAAAAACTAGAAGATAGTAGCCACAACAACAACAATACTGCGGGTCTTGAAGAGTCTATCTCAAAATAAAGTTCCATTTTTCATTTTATATAAGCTTAAGTCTTAATATAAGTATATTTATGAGTTCTCCGTGAATGAAATCTCATTGTCCAAGCCCAAAAACAAACAAATATCCCTTCAGGACTCTCTATAAATATGAAAGACAGGCTCAAGGGTGAATAATTCATTTGTTTGCAAGTAAAGTCAAAGACCTTGTCAAAATAAAACTAAACTGATTGCAATAATATCATTCATACCTGTCAGATCAAAGTGTAATTTAGGTTTATCAGGAGTCTTGGTTGCCGTCATTCCATCCATCTCTAGATCTACTGCCATCACCATCATTGCCTTTCGCGAGAGCTTTCCACCTTTCGTCTTGAGTGGGTACTCTGCCAGTAGGGCAGGGATGTCATGGTCTGATTTGATCGCCACGACTTGGCGACTTTTCCCGCTCTTTTTATAATAAATACATTTCAATTTTGCGTCAATTTTTAGTCGATTTATCACATAATCCTCAATACAACTTTTTAATGTATCGTAGGTCCATCGATGTGGTAGTACGAAAGGTGCATGTTGGGGGCCTTCAACTTTCCCATTTTTGGTTTCCACGTACAAGGCCACTTCACGCTAGGGATGCAAAACAATGGTTAGTTTGCAATAAAAGTGTAGTGAAAATTGGCCTTTACACAACTTCCTTACCGTGTCGTTGGGACTGTCCCATATCTGAGTTTCTTCAATATCTGGTAAAACAATCTGAATACCGATAGTTTCAAAGTCTTCTGTATTACAGGTAGAGTCCAGAGACGCCATTTTGTACACGTGCAGACAAAGGAGCCGAGCAAACGCCTTTCAATGGTCAGCGGCTATTTACATAAGCTCCTCCCCCCAATGATTGACGGATCAGAAAAGACCAAAATATAATCGGAATTTTGAAATGGCTGGTCGCGATGCAACGGTTTTAGCTGTAATTATTTAGCAAGCACAAATAGTTTCCAGGCAGTGTTCGACCTTTGTCCCTATTGAACAATATGTTCTTTCCCTTGGCAATTTGACAAGCCTCCAGCCACTTCCTTTGTTGTGACTTTGTTTCTGTTGCTACTACTGAAGTAGCGGCCCAGTCGATCGAGTGGCCAGTGTTGTTGGCATGTTCAGCAAGCGCAGACTTCTTCGCATTGAGGTGTCTTACAGCCGAGATGTGCTCACTTCTCCTTGTCTTTAAAGAACGGCCCGTTTCACCGATGTACTTGACATCGCATTCTCCACAAGGAATCGAATACACTATACCAGCCTTCTTGTCCGCCACAACCCTGTCCTTAGGATGTGAGAGGACATGTCTTAGGGTCACCTCAGGTCGCATACAGCATTTGATGTTGTTTGCTGTCAGAACTTTGCGAATCCTTTCGGTGGTCCCTTTGACATAGGGAAGTGTGGCAAAACCTTTGGGCTGGCTAGGTTCTTCGTCAGTGATCTTATTATTCTTGGGAGAAATTGAATGTCTTTCCAAAAAGCTAGAAGGGTATCCGTTCTCAAGGAGGGCGGTGGTAAGATGGTCGTGCTCAGCTTGCTTCACATCATCATCGGACAAAAGATTTTCTTTACGATGGACTAGAGTTCGTACAACTGCTGCCTTGTGTGAAGAAGGGTGGTGGCTAGTGTAATCCAAGTATCTAT